AMAATGACCGACCTGAGACCGATAGGTATTGTGGGAAGTCATGTATAAGAGCTCACTTCTGCAATCTAAAAATGATGCTATAGCTTAAATATGAGTTTTAAATTTAGTCAATAAGTTTAATAGTCCAATACTCTCGTACAAACAGTTACTCTACTTCCAACTACTCTCAAAGCGTATTCTGCGTATTGGAATGAGACTTTGCATTCCAATGTTACCCTGATTTCAGAGGTTCGATGTTTTCCTTCGTCGCACTTTCTCTCAATACACGGCGCTTTCAGCCCGGCAGCAAAAACAGTAGCGAAGAGTAAAAAAACATCCGTGCTGGAACCAGTATAGCCGATAAATTACAGTGTTTACAAGTCGATTTTTTTGCATATAACAACGAAAGATACTGTATGAAAGTGAGATTGTCTAGGCTTGATCAGTTTGAGCTTAGAAAATTTCGATTATTAACGCAAACATATGCCGCTTCTAGATTCGAAAAAGGAAGAAAAGACAAGAACRAGAGAAGTAAAGAAAMATAAGGCAAACCAGGGAATACCAGTCCTAATTGAAATAGATATGAGTACTACTCGCGTGTCATGTGATCAGGGTATTCTGCTAGTAAAAAGTTTCTCTTGGTACAGTAGTGCCATGCGAAGGTATAGGACCCTCAAACGTGCAAAGCTTCCAAGTGCATTTGAACGTGTTTAAGAATAGAATAAACTGTATGGAAACAGGAAGAAAGACAATTGAGAAACAAAGAATAAAAACTACTGAAAAAAGGACAAATAAAAAAAAATGAAAAGAAAGAAAGGAAAAAGAGCCAGTGACTGTGGTGGCTAAGAAATTCTTCAATTGAAAAATTCATCCTCCAWCATTTAACGGTTAWAGAATTGCATGTTATTTTCAATCACAARATCTAGTTGATCGCAGGTGCAAACTTTAAAACCAATACGGAAGTCCAGTAGGTTTAAAAATAATGAGCGCGGTCACTATGGCGGAAGTTGCCATGGTAGCGGACAATTACAAGGGATATACACATCGCAGTTTACCCAATCAATATATCGTTTTATACAACGCCTTCATCACCGTCCAACCACGCAAACAAAAGACAGACGAGCATTAATCATTCAAACTCCTTTGGGCTTATTTTTGGCGAAAACCAAACAAGCGCGTCCGAGTGACAACAAACATTAATCTAAAAAGAAAAACTACGTTTATTTGACATCAAAATAAGATTCAATTTAACTTATCGATAAAGTACTTGGCACTGAAATTTTAGAATCCGCTGGAGACGACTTTCGCCACTGGGTGTTTCAATGGAAYCCCAGGCTCGATCGCAGCGGGCMCTTCTCACAGCTCAAATTGACCAGTATCTTGTCTCCAAGACCCCAGCTGCGAATCTCTGATATATTTTACTACCAAATCAAGGAAAATATTGAATGAGCTCCGTGACATAAGTGCCTTTTGGATTCTTTGACGTTGCCGTTATTGACATATGTATTGAGTCGTATTTCTTCAGCGCGTAATTCCTAAGAAAACATTTATTGAAAACGCAAAGCCATCTCGAGAATGACGCCTTTGGACTAAACCCTTTGGAAATGCCGGCTGAGGCTGCATATGCATGTAACAAACTAAAAGTAATTACATTCAATATATTTTATTTGTATAGACTTTTTTCGTTTTCCCTTCAGTACGCTGTTACTATTGGAAAACATGCAAAAAAAAGTATCGATTGCTCTAGCTCTTTCGCCTTTCGGGTTTTGCTTTCACCTGACTTGTCATGAGTTGAGTCGCCCGCCTACGCTCGGCCGTGTATATTTGATTTGTGGTAAATTATATTTTGAAAATCAGGGGGAGACATGTCGTTGCTTTCAAAAGAATTCATTAAAATCTAAATAGGGAGACTAAAAAACGTTTTGAGCTATTAAAGGAAGCGATACATCCAAGTTTATCACACTGAAGACTATTAAAAAGCGCATTTTTGTCTTTGCGTCGGCAGCGGAGCAATAACGTAGGTTCATTGCTCCGGGCAATCATTACCAGTATGAGTGTTGTTTTGATCTTAAAGTGGCCGATTTGAGCTCAAATATCTGATATTAATCTTAGTTTATTTATTTATTTTGGTCAGCCAAAGCTCCCAGTTTGGTTTCCCTCCCCCATTCCACGGTGACATAGCGACGGCAAAGAATCTTGGGATAACGCACATGGTCTTGGGAAACATGGCGGATCAGTATAACACAGGTGTTGTAGACCCTAGTACTGAAATTGCCGATGTAGACTCAAGGAAGAGACCCCTAGATGCTTCATCRGACATCCGTCAACCATTTAAAAGATCGAACTTTGGAGGTAAGTAAGAATTTGTTTTTTAATTCAGTTATTTGTCACAAATTTACTGCTCAATTTGTTGAATGTCCATGCCGTCATATCACACACACAAATGCATACAAACTTCCCACAGCTAGTTTATCATTTCCCTTGACAAGTGAAGATTCACCGCTCTTTTGTTATAGATGTAGACAGTTACAGGACGAACACGACCAACAGAGGTATGCTGCTACAACTTGAGTTTTAGAATTATTATTATAATGAAGTTATTATAAGCKTACGTCCTGTTTTGAATTGGACTCGGTTTGTGTAACCATCCTCTCTTGGCGAAAGTTTGAAATGTATATCGTAATTCMAACAGATGCTTACACATTGGAGTACAATCGTAGCCTACTATTTCGTCACTTCGTGATTTAACTTTAACACACTTGCGTAGTTTCTAGCAGATAAGAATTGACTTTCGTGTGATTTTGGGCAAATATCAGCTGTACGAGCTGCGCTRGCCACAGAACTACTTACCATTGACAAATCCTATCCGATCTCTGCGAGGGAAAATCAATAATTAATCCTATACCACTGTCGGTGTTTTTGTAAACTCTYTCTCATTCCCTTGAGATCTTTTTCCTTGTTATTTGTCAATTTGTATCTAGGGAATTTTCTCGTTGAGTCGTTGAGACTCATTACGTTATATGTATCTAGATAAACTTGTCAAACGCCTGATGATTTTACACGCGACAAAAACCTTGACGTGGCTTCTTTCTCGCTGTTTTCTCGTCATTSAACTTAAAACAATTACCATTATTTATTTTACAGCTATGGACTGAACATTTAGTTGGTAAATACATTTTCTAAGCTAAGTGATTGTCCTATTTTCATTAAAGTTCCAGCCCACAACATCAAAGAAATTTTGATTCTTCTCATCCTTTGACATTGTTTTATTTATAGTATCTTTTAATGTGGAAGTTATGGTTTCCATTAAAAGGCTAAAGAAATATGAATAAATTTGCTAGTTTGGCATTAATGAGTAGACGTCGACGCCATCTGCAAAGGAAGGCAGTTAAGAATTACCGTATTTAGCATAAGGCCAACGTAATAATCCCATGTCTAGTTTCGACATTATTTCTAGGAGTTTTCCTAACTTCCTGTAAGCAAAAATATGTTGCTATTTCCGCCTACAGCAGGTAAAGTGTTGAAAATTTGACATCTATCTTTCCAAGTAGCATAGCATTTCTAGATATTGCCTATATTCAAAGAATAGAAATGTTATGTTCATTTGGGCCAATGTTGGATCGTTTGCCCTCGTATTTACCACATTAAGCCCTTCTCAATTTAATGAGTTAAAACTTCCTCAAGTGCCTTTATTGGTAAAAACTCATCAAGCTTTTTAATAATGCCTTGAAGGAATGTTTTGGATCATTTGAGCTTAGGTATTAAGAGAAGAGAAATTCAAAAAGGATATTTTGCATATGTGATCATTACCTATTCCAGGTGGTTTCATAGCAGGGGATTGTGTTTATACTTTGAAAGAAAGCCTAGTATTCACTAGTAATTGAAAAAGTCACTCTTTACTACTGTTTTTTACATCATTCATCTTCGTATTATTACTTTTGAAGACCTTGCTCATCATTTGACAACATAATATTTCTGATATTTGTGGTAAAAAATTTGGTTCTTTCACAGTGTTTATTCTGATTGATTGTATACAAACATACCAACATCAGGCCTGAATACCTGACAGTTTAGAAAAAATATCCATTCCTAATTATATTTGTCTTCCAAGTATGCATTATGCATACTCATCAAACTTATTCAAATATGCTATGTTCTGAATGTAAACTAATCCCACTCAATACACACTTGAAACAGTAATCGCTGAGAAACATCGTTCTTTTTTAGTATGTGCATAAAATTCACTCATCAAACAGGTAATATTTTTTGCATGTTGTGTTTGAACCACTCAATTATATAAAAAAGATAATCTGTTCTAATATAATTGCTTCTTGCTAATCTGCTTTACTCAAAAGTGACCAAAAGGGAGAATACCTTCCAAAACACATGATTAAACCCTAGTTTTAATGTATTTATATCAATATCTTGACACAAAAGGAGAACAGATTTTTTAGGCTAGCTGCTAAACTTACAAGCCAAGTTATTCAATTTGTAGCTGAACTCTTTCAATGGTMAGCTTTCACTGTTATGCTCCAGTGATCCTAGACGGTTTTGTTTCTTCTGTCACAAAATGTGTTATTATTCTGCTTACCAAAAGCCAAATTCATTGTGGATATGGCTTGAGACATGTACTCCAGTCGTAATTACAATTTTCTCTGTTTTCTAATATCAAAATATCAAGAATTTGTGTTCACATGTATAATAAGTTAGACCATCCAGATAAAAGCTTCAAGCTGATTTATTGTGATCACATCACACAAATCGTCTGTTTGTTGTTCTAAAGTAAAGGTGTTTTCATGTTTTCTGCTAATGCTTATGAGAACGTACCAGCATGTCCAATGTACTGTTGCCCTAGACATATCAATCATCTTCTACATTATACTCATATATGTATGCAAATGTATGTTTTACAAGTGCATTGAGTGGTTGAATATAAAATAGTCTTCCTGCCTAAGGGTCCAGTTACATGTCTATTAAGTACAATCATATGAAATTCACCTGAAACTCTAAATGGTTGTATGGTTTTACTGGAGCACAAATATAAACTTCCAAGATTATTTTTTTTAAATATTATCTACCCCCCCAATAGCAACATCTTTTATTGTATTGTTTTACTAGTAAAAATATACCTCTAAATGGTATCTGTTCCTGAAAAGACAACAGGAAAAAATACCTTGGGTTTATAAACTAAGAGATTCAAACAATCTTGTTTTCTCTTATGCAATTATATGAAGTTTTAAAGTTGAAAATTGCTTTTAAAGCCCTTTTTATTCAACATACAAGGAAAACTTTCCACCTATACCATAATGCCTCAATGATGAAATTTATGATGACCTTTATTTTCTGTTAAAGCTGTGTTTTGATTGGTTGGATGAGATGGCTAAGCAACTGTAAACTGTCTTCAGGCTGTCGTGGGATTTCATTCTGTGTTGAGATGTTGAGCATTTGAGTGGTTGACTGTTAGTATCTGTGCACCATAATTCTTCATTGTCACTAGTCCACTAAGTTACTAATCCACACCATCATGGACTACTGGTTAAACGTAGGGCTATCACAGACCAGAAATCCAAGCCGACAGCACCTACCAGGTTCTGTAAAACATTTTCTCATCTTTGTTTTGTTTCTTGTAGCTGAGAGACCTGCTCAGTGTAAAAAAATATAATCTTTCCTTCTGCTTTTGAATCAACCACTGTTTTGAACCTTTAAGTTGTGACATTGAAACAAGTGCTTTGTGCTAATTTGTCTTGTTTTTCCCCTCCAATAAGATCACAGAAATGGCTGTCTAGTAAAGAGATACTACAGATTGGTTTTCTGATTTTGTTGATTTTGTCTTAAGTTGTTTTGTAAAACATCTGAGTCACTTGTATCATATCTGAGCTRGGGGATTTTGAATGAAAGACAAAAATCTTTAATTTTTCTCTTGGTGTGATTTTTAATTTTGAAAGTTTCACTTCAATTTTAGTGATTACTATTTCCCTAGTACTCTTAACTAGATTATATTGAATTTTGGAGATAAAACAGCCCTCTAAATAAATTTGTATTTCACTGAGAAAAATTCATCTGAATATGAAAAACAACTGAAAAGTAACCCCTATTATATTCCTGCACTTATATTTGATGAAATTTTAACTACATTGCTACATTTTGTGATATGTCTTAGTCTTACTGAAATAGTCTGTTATGGGAATATCTGGTAGTATTCAAGTGTAGGTTTTTTTCTCTAGCCCTATGATATTGTCATCCCTCTTACAAGTGTTTTTCTGTGTTTAGTTCTTCATTTTTTTCACTGAGCATGGATAATAAAACTAACAGTCCTCTATTTTTAATTTGTGGACACCTATAAATCTGTCTTAGAATTGGTATTTACAACTTGCATGTTGAAAACATTCAGTTTCTATATCTTTTTTTTATTGGAAAATTATATTTCATAAGAAGTAGTGTGGTTTTATTGGAATTTTAGCTATTGACTGCTAAAATAGACATAGGACTTCACAAGGTGCCTAGGTAGAATGCAGATGGATGATTTAATGGTATTGATGTGTGACACACTAACCATAGGACCTGATAACGTCTAATCTCAATCTAGCCCTGATTGATTCAGTAATTGTTTGGCAATCTCACATGATTATGTCTGCACTCACATCCAATTTAACAAGTCCATTTTGTATCTTTTGCTATCAATATTAACTTGTAGGTCAGTTTAAATGTATAAAGCCTTCTTGTTTATGACCATTTAATTGACAATCTCAATATGAGAACTTTATTGGTGGAAACTGTCAGATTTTGCAACTGCTTTTACTTTTCTGGCAAATGATTATGATGTATTGTTCTGTAGCCATAACGTCATTTGTATTGCTTGTTGGGGTTCAGGGTTAGGTTAATAAGACACCTCTATTGTTTTCCAAATGTAAAATTCATTTTCTTTTCAATAAAAAATGACTTTAACATGAAGATTTCCATTTTATTTTATTGTTTTAAGGTATTGACCTTTCTCTTTATTGTCATAGGGTAGGCATTGTAGTTTTTGTATGTAAAACTTAATATCCAATAAACAAAATGTGCTTCAGATGTTCAGTGGTAATTGAAGGTGCTTGCTACACCACCAGGAACTTGCTTTTTATTCTTAGTTTATAGCTTTGTGGGATCTTTGAAATCCTCCCAATACTGTTATAAAGTTGATTGATATATAACATCTTTTTGGTACTTTTTAGATCAATATTTTTTGTAATTATCAGGACTTTTTGTCAAAATTAATACATACAAATAATATTCTTTTAAAACATTTGTGTATCCATAGACCAGTTGCCAAAATAATTTAAAGTGAATTTCTGAAGGATTCTATTACTTGCTGTATTTTCTTACAATATCATATTGATTAAAAACCTTTTTCTAAGAGTGAGAGCTTCGTAAACCAAAAGAGGAAATGTTATTATCTTCAATAAACAAAATATTTGAATCTGTTTACACCAGTTTTCGAATACATTGCCCAAACAGAAAAAATTGTTAGAATTCCACTTTACGTTTTTCATTATTTTTTTTTGAACGTTTTCTTTTTCTTTTCTTGTATTTGAATGCAGAAAATATATAACAATGTTTTTTTTATGGTTTACTTTATTGTAAAATACTGTTTAAAATATTGTAAAATATTTTATTCCTTTTTTCTTTCATTTGAAAGACTTCATTTTAATATGACAAGTGTTTAAGAGTTCTGTGTACAACAGTAGACATTGATTTACATGACAGCTGTAGAATATGATATCCAAGCATAATTGATATCAAAATTTGAATTGGAAATTCTCTGTGCACATAAATTGAACAAATACAATTTGATTTATAAAAAGAGGGTGCTTAAAGGGACACTGTCAATGGATGACATGCGCGAGTAA